GCATAAGTTAAGATAGACAAAGACAAGAAGTATTGAGCATAAATAAAGAAGGCCTATAAGTCAAAAGTGATTGTCATCTTATTTAAAAAGGAAGATAGGTTTTATAAGTATTAGTATTACTTATTGTTTTTGGAAAGAGTTACCAAATATCCTAGATATATGTCCAAATATTTTAGATACATATAGATACAGAAATTCATATATTGTACAGAAAAGCGAGGAGTAAAAATAGCTAAACCAGACTTCAAACTCTAGCCTTCCACAACTTCACAGGCTGTGAATATTCCAACCTCCTTTTCTCATGTACTGCACACTGAGAAGTAGAGAGTGATGGAGGACACATGGAATTTTGTATCCACTGCTTTAATACAATGATATTTTGCTTTTATCCATTCATCAGTGTAGCAAATTACCACTTCTCTCTTCATCAAAGCAGCATGGAAATTGGTGTGAGGTCTGGTAGAGTCATCTTTGCACAGGAGTTCTGATCTATGACAAAAAGAGTGAGGCACATATATGATAATATCATAATTGTGAAAAGGGAGAATTTCTGTTTAAAGCATCTCATAAAAGAGAAAAAATATACTCTGCATTGTTTATTAGGCTCAAATGTAAAACTTAAAGTCATTGTATTAACACTTGTTCTAATGTTGCTCAAGATTATTACTAAGTCCAGATTCTTGTATACATGATTAACATAACAGGGATGTTTGAGGCAATGGCAAAAGTGCAAACCAGGAAAATTATTGTCCATTGTAGACATTAAAAATATGGGTTATATGCACTGATTTGCTTATATGGGCCTTAAATGGGCTACCTTTGGCAAACAGTCTGGTTATCAATATTTGTTAACACAAAGATATTGTGCTCCCTGGGGAGCCTGTTCCAGCTCAAGCACCCTTTGGGTGAAGAACCTTTTCCTAATATCCAACCTAAACCTCCCTGGACACAGTTTAAGGCCATTGGGTGCTGTCACTGGTCACTAGAGAGAAGAGATCAGTGCCTGTACCTCCTCTTCCCCCAACAAGGAAGTTGTAGACTGTGCTGAGGCCTCCCTCAGTTTCCTCTTCTCCAGGCTGAATGGACCAAGTGACCTCAGCTGCTCCTCCTATGGTTTCCCCTGAAGGCCTTTCACCATCTTAGTTGCCCTCCTTTGGACACTCTCCAGCTTTACATCCTTATTACATTGTGATTCCCAGCAATGCACACAGTATTCCAAGTGAGGCTGCCCCAGAGCAGAGCAGAGCAGGACAATCCCCTCCCTTGCCCAGCTGGCCATGCTGTCCCTGATGCCCCCAGGGCAGGGTTGGCCCTCCTGGCTGCCAGGGCACTGCTGGCTCACATTCAACTTGCCATTGACCAGGACCACCAGGTCAGCTCTGAATGATGTTGGGAGCAAAGGACTCAACCTGAAAGGAACTATAAACTAAGCTTGAAAATTTGTGACAATGGAGCCAGGTAGTGGAGGTGACAGCGGAAGGAAAAAGCCTGCCAGAAGTGATCCTGCACCCTCTGCCACAGGTGCTTCCAGCAACCATGCGGAGCTCACTCACAGCCACTGTAGGTACACCCTGGGGACATTGACCCCGAGTGAATGAGGATATCTTCCTGGGGGCTGTCATCTCTGTAGTGAGGAATGGCAGCACGAAGCTCAAGCACAGGATGGGGCTCTTGCACAATCACGCTTTGGCGGGTAGGGTCCCTCATGTTGAGATGAAAGGATCTGCACCCTCCAAAACCTACAGCAATGGGTGCATATTTCTACGTGTGTGCGCATGTGTGCATGTGTTCATCCACAATTAGAGATTCTTAGGATTAGTTATAGAAGGGTGTTTCAAAATATCCAGGTCTTTCGATTTATTAGCTTTTTCTAAGTATCTAAGTGACAGGGATTATTCGTTATTTTACTAGTATTGACTTCCAATACATAGTTCATTGATGCCTAGTTAATTATATGTGATTAATAAATTAATAAGTCACTTCAATTTTGATTTGATTTAAACTACAAAATTTTTCCCTGCAGCATCAAGACTCCACTTTCATCTGAAAAAAACCCATAAATGAATCAACTGCAAGGTTGTCTGTGATTTCTAGACTTTTAAACACTCCTATGACAAAAATAGGGGGGAAAGAAAATTAAAATAAAGAAGGTACTGATATTTTTCCTATTATTTTTCCCGGACTATGAGGTTTTCTGGTTAATTCAGAAAAAGAAGACACACAAAATACAGCAACACTGAATGTTTACAATCTCTCTAAGGTTAGCAATGTTTGGTGAATCCATATGAAATACCAACTAACTTTGTAATTCTCTTATACATTTGTATTAATGCATACTGAAAAGGCTTTGGTTATCGAAGCAGCAACAACATCCCTACAAGCAATAGCTAATAATGCACCTTGGGCCATATACCGATGCTAAGAATATAGTATTCATTTTTAGACACTTTCAGGAAAGTAGAAATTTTAGGCAAACCAATACTGTTTTCTGTAACAAGATACTTTGTACTAAAGTGTGCGGAAATTATCAAATAACCCCCATCTAGAAAATTCTTAGCAACAAAAATGTAAATACCATTAGTGTTTATCTATGAAATACTGTTTCAATGAAACCTATTCACATTTACTTTTATTTAGAGGCGGCTCTGGTCCACAGATCTCTTGTTTCCAAACATTACTGAAGACCTCATGACAGCAGTCTTTTATCTTTCAATGAAGTAAAAATTGAAAAAAAAAAAAAAAAGGGAACTAGAGATGAATATTTACAAAACACAGAAGGAAAATTCAAATGAAAATTTCCATCCACAAACATAAGCTTATCCTGGCTTTCACCAATAGTTGATAAAAATTGTTCGTGTTACTTTGGAATACCCATTCTTTGTGTCCATTCACAATAAATACACTAATACTTTTCCCTAAAGACTTAGATTTCCCCATAGTTTGACAGGGTGTCAGTCAGAACACATGCAGATACAATGGTCAATGTTCTAAAATTCTTAACAAGGGTAGATAGGCAGAAATTCAAAATACAATGTAGGTCAGATCTTTCCACTCATTGCAGCTATGATTTGAAGAAGGGAATTAAATTCCCATCTCTCACTGACTTTCACTGGGATTTGGGAACCAGAAACTTCTTTAAAAACCCTAGCTTTTACTGAAAATTTTCACAGTCACTTTGAGAACCATCCTCTTGTGTGTCAGGTGCACTTTAACTGGATTTGAAGGCAGTTACTCCTCCCCTCACTGGACTCACAGATACTCCTTTGTAAGCTGTAATGTGGGCTCTTCAATACATTTAGTTCTATGAATAATTAATGTGTCTCCTGCTCTCACCACTTGATTTCCAGTTATTTGCGTTGCATGCAGTATGCTGAGCCCGTTTCATAGCACCTAGACTAAAATGCAGGTTTCCAATCACATAAAGTGTAATGGGATATGAAAAATAAGAGTTTAAATAATAATAAAAAAAAGAGCTTAAACATGTCTCACATTTCTTAAAAATACTAAAACTAAAATCTCCAAGAAAGAAAACATAAGTGTTGCTTATGGGAGAAGAAATAGAAGATTCTATGCAAAAATTCACTGAGCATCAGAGAGGATTTTTTTCTTATATTTTATTTTGTTTGAGCTGAGGACTCCCTCAACTGCACTTTGGTGGGTTTTTTTTTTTTCAGTTCAGTTAAAAAAAATGAAAAAAACATTTGAAATATCATCTTTTGGTTGGTTTTCATTCATTTGCTAAACATAACTCTCTCCGAGTTTACAAAAGCAAGCTTGTCATTCAAGCTAGTCACCACACTTCATGGATGACTGAATAAAAATGAGTTTTTCAAGAGGTAACCAAAAGTACTGCCTCAGTGAATCTGTATGTACTTACATACTGGACATAGAAGAAAAAAATCAGTTATATGTCCTTCTAAGACAAAGTAGATCAATCTCATTGCTTCTATAAGATATAAAATGAATTTGAACAGACTGGATAATTTCCAGAAGCAGTTATATCAAAGCAGATATAATAAAAAAAGAGTAGCTGCAAGAAAACAGGCTAGATTGAAAATGGAATGCAAATACCTCTAGGCCATTCTGGAAGCAAGGACGAGAGCCCAGGAATGTTTTATTATTGAGCTATTGAATTTAAATAATAGTTAAAAGTCTTAAAAATTGTCAAAATATATGTTTTCATCTACTGATTTTAGGAATATGTCTTCACCTTTATGGAAGCAGCCATTTATGAAAAATTCTTTTCTGTGAGTGATGTGATGCAAAGTTGTAGTTTGATTTCTTCATTACAGTTTAACTGATGAACTCCAAGTAATTTAAAATAATTTGTACAAAGAAGAGGAGAAAAATCTACTTCTGTTACTAAAACAATGTAAATCTGGAGTAGTTTCTGTGGTTTACTGAGTTTTAATTCACGTCTTAAATTTTTGTTTTATTTTTCTGCACCTTTTTATCAGAGAATTAAAGCTAAATAATAACTAATTAACATATATTTAATGTCTTGATACTACCACTAAACCAAAAATATTTACTTACTAAATGGAGAATCCATCAAGACAGAATTAGAAAATTACATCAGAAAAAAAATCCATTACATTTTTATTATTTGCAAGAAAAATTTTTTTTTTAGTTCTTTATCATGGTATTATTACTTACTTTTTTTTCTTTAGGAGGGAAATTTCAGGACTCATTTCTTTTTTTGATTCTCAAGCATCATTCAGTTTGCTTTCTCCAAAAGCTGAGCAGTAAAAAAGCCTTGATCAGGGATTACAATCTTTTCCTTTCAACTGAAAGCCTGAGAAGCTTGACCTTTTTGCTGTTCACTCATTTAAATTTCCAGGTTCATACCTCAGAGATGTATGGGGAGTTTGTAGTTCTGCAGGTGGGTGGAAGTGATATGTCCATCGCAAGAGCAGGAAGAAGGGTAGAAAAAACAGTGGGTGTACAATAACTTTTCTTCTCTACAAGACCTGACATCTTTGATTCTCTCCTTTTTGCAGCATCTCAGTCTGTTTGGGCAAGACAGTGCAAAGCAGCAATAACCCTCAGAGTGTTTGTAAAAGGTTGAAACAAGGCTCCAGCCCATCCTCCTGTCTCCAGAAGTGACCCACAGCACCAGGCTGCTGCAGTAAAGATATAGTCATGTTCTCCTAGAACATGTTCACAAGCTCGAGAGACATGCAGCATAGAAAATGTCAATGTGTTCTCTCTCTCTGGGATAAGTTATAGGTCTATCAAGTAGCCAAACAATGAAACAGCATCCATGATAAATATACCAGGAAGTATTCTGCTTGAATATAGTCCACCTTTATGTGACGTGTTGATTACAAAAAATTTGGTATACAAAAAATATATAAATGGCTTCCAGACAATTATATGATTACACTTACTCTGAAATACAGTAAAAGCATTTCATATACATATAAATGGAGTAAAATTCAGAATGTACAATAGATTGTTAACCACAAGTGTGAAGTTGCAGACAAGTATGTCCTTTTTGTGAAAACTTATTATATGCTTCCTAGTCTACTGTCAGTTCTATAAATATATGTATCAATAATAAATGTACGTAAAAATAAAATTGCTTGACGCTTAGCTTCTTTTTCTTTTGGATGCTTGTAAATATAAGATGAAACCCATATTCTCTAAGCCAAAGAAGTTTTGGAGATAAGACAAAATACTCTCCAGTTTCATTATGAAGCATAATATAATCCTAACACAGCACTGTGGATGTCAACTGAGCTTCTCATGAGAGCAGAGGGTGCAGAAGTCCTTACGTATTTTGTTTAAAACCTCCTGTGAAAGTAATGAGGATTTTTGTTTGGAATGTTCTTGTTAAAGCACAAGGTTGAGACTGATTCTGTATAATATACAGTCAAAAATCAGTAGAGTTGCTGGAAGCAGTGGTCACTGCTGCACCCCAGAATGGGCGCTGACACCTTTGTTGTGCTCACCCACAGCAGCTGCACAGGGGCAAGGGCTGGCAGCTGGAGGCTGTGGGTGATGCTCCTGGGAGGAGCCTGGGGACTGCTCTGCGCTAGCCAGGAAGGATTCCCACCAGCTCTGGCACAGAAATGAGCCCCTCAGTGTGTGCCAGAGCTCTGAAGGAGCCCAGAGTCCCTCAGCAGAGGTGAGCAGGGTGGGACGAGGGGTGCACGCATACACCCCGAGGGACTGCCCTGCTCAGCCTCCCTTCCTCGCCTCACTGCTCTCCACAGGAGCTTTCATCAACTGTATGCAACCCTTGGAGAACACAAGGGCAATTACCTCTGGAGAAGGGGAGAATGTATGAGTCTGACACATTGCTTGTACTCCTGCTTTCCCTGATACCCAAGTCAGTGATCAAAAGTTTGCTTTTACTGGCAATAAATTGTATACAATTCTCTGACTCACAAATGTTTTGCCTGGGACAAGTTTGCTGCTGGTTTACAAGGTCTACCACACTCCTTTTCCAAGCATTTTCTCCAGTGCTGGTGTGCAATAGCTCTTTGAGGCACACAATTCTTTGAAAAGGGCCCTAGAGGTGCAAGTTATTTCACTTAATGAACAACCAAAGAAATAGAATGTTTTAAGATTTATTGTCTTTCAATGATATTATTTCCTCTCTCATTAGTATTTTCCTCGTTAACTTGTCTAAGAAATTAATACCAGCCTAAATGGTACCAGACTCAAGTAAAAAATATTCTATCTTTATTTTTCCACTCATCTAGAGTTGTACTCATCCACAGTTATAGCACATTAGCAATGCAGAGATGCTTCAAGTATTGCGGTGTTGAAAACACTACTTAATTTTTCCTTTAAAAAAATCCAGCTTATTTCTGTAATATTAATGTATGTCATTTTTTTTTCCTGTAAAGGGAGATATGTTTCAATTTTTTTAAAATTCTTCATTTTAAAAGTAAAACAAAGGATTTTCTCTAATTTTTTACCTTAATGTATTAAGTTTTATATACTCAGTCATTAATCAGAAAGAAAGTTTACATAAAAAGGAGGACATACAATCAGTCCAATACAAATAGTAAAAGCTCCATTATCTCCCTAGCACTGCATAGGAATCTTAATAAAATGTAATTGACTCAAATCTTCAGTTTTTGTACTGCCTTTGTCAGTACATACTCTAAGTAGAAAGAAGGGGTAACAATTTCTCAGAAAGTCAGGAAGACACAGCTAGAAGTTTTTCCAGCTGATCTGCCCGAATGCTTCTTCCTAATACAGAAGTAAAACTAAGTAAAATACTTGAATTATAAACTTGATTGGGTTCAGACAAAACTTATACACTCCATTTGGGTTTAAATAGCTGACTAGGTCCTGTTAAAATATGTACTGTCATCTCTCTTGTCTTCTCCTAGAAAGGAAAGAGCCTCAAGTGATCAACTGCAAGTTTTCATTCCTTCAGCATCTTTGTATAAAGTCCAGAAAATTCCCCACTAGAAAACTGGAATTATACAGAGCCACAAGAATTAAATTGGAGGAATTGGTAACAACTCTGCCTAATCTTGACTAAAGACTATTCCTTTTCTGTTTAGTCTTTGAAAGCTTTATTATAATACTGGCAGAGATCTCCAGTCTAGAGTGTTGGATCTTCTGCTGGCATTGGTATCAAGCCTCATTTATGAAGGCTTCCCACTGGAAAAAGAAAATTCATGTAATACATTAATGCTGTTCTTGTGGGACTGTACTCTGACACCAGTGGATGATGTGAAAACCAAGATGATGTTAAAACCATGTACTGATGCAAGTCACAGAACAGGACTGCAAAACAGAAACATTGAAACCTATCAAAATTGAATTCCAGATTCTTAAAAATTCACATTCTTTATTATCAGTCAATTCCACTGAATTCTTCAAGTATGTATTTCATATATATGGAAGTGCTTTTTAGCATTAAATCTCTGTAAATCTAATGATTTTCCATTTAAAATAACTTTTTCCATTATGTTTTTAAGAGAAACGAGTGCAAAAATATTTTTAAAGCAAAAAAAGGAAAATTATATTATTAAAATTTAAATAGAAATGTGAATATTGAGGCATAAAATAAGTTTTGCAGTTATTTCCACATCAGGTGAGTTCCTACTACTTTTTTTACTTCAAGTTGTATTTTACACAACTTTATTCCATTATCAAGCATGAAGAATATTTACAATAAATTATTTGACCAAGTGTTTCTTTTAATTTTGATTCTATTCATAACAGGAAAGAACTTGTATCACTATATTGAAATAGACCAGGAGGAGAGAAGGACAGGGTAGGAGATTATCAGATTTAAAAATAAATTAAAGAAAAGGAAGCTTTATCCCCTTCCTCTCATTTTTGCATTCTTTAGCTATACACTTGAATATGTTTATATTTTTTCTGAAATTTTTCACAATTTGAATCAATTTTAAGGGTCAGGGTAAACTGTTCATTTTGTTTAACTAGTCTTATAGGGCTAACTTGCGTACTGTGTTATCCACCCTTTATTACAGAATTTTACATGTTATAGTGCCTATAATCTCTGATGTCTGGTTTGTTCAATCTAATACCCAGCAGCTTTATTTTAATACTTTCTTTTTGGATATTTGATATATTTTAAAACTTTTTTGTCAGGGCATGCAAAGATGCTTTGGGTTTGGTGCAAGTTTGTTTTTTGCTTGTATGTTTTGGTTAGTTTTTTTTTTCTAATTCCCTAGAGCGTCGGTTCTTGATGATTTTCTTCACTTATCTTTTAAAATGCCTTTGTTCTTGTGTGTTTCTGTCTCTTTGCTTGTGACATTCCTTCTAACTATAAGTTTCCCTTAATTGGCAGGTTTGCATTTGAGTTTCCTAGGTGGAATGACCCCTTGTTCCTTGTTCTGCAGTGTCAGGAAACAGAAATGTCATTGCTGATTAGGGGCCTGAACCCTCTGCTCCTCCTTCTCATACAGTAGGCAATCTTGTTCTGTACACACTCTAGCTGCAGGGTCAGCCTTAGGGGAACTCTAAACAAGTGTCCACATGGGATACCAAAGTGGAAGGGGCACTGATAGGGGCAAGTATTCTTTGAGCTCATTTGTCTACCACAGAAAGTCTCTTCTGTCCCTTTAAGTGTAAAATGTCCACTGGCATTGCCCAAGTGTCTACATTTTAACCAGATAGAAGCATTTTTGTGCCTCTGGCTTACTACACATGTACATCAGTGATGTTAATAACATCTCTGCCTAACAATGTGACACTGAGATGTACTTCTAATGGTTGTCTTTCCTCTGAACCGAGATACAAAAGCTTTCATTTTTGGTTCTGAAACCCTCTGTTACACCAACTTTGACCTCATCCCAGGGCACGATTACCTAGTCTTGCTTGGGGCACCTGAAGCTCTAAAGATGGCCTTGTGTAGCTGTGGTTGAAAATCTCTCTGCTTAGTGCACAGAGTGCATCCTGTCTTACAACTGAGTGGAAACCTCTGCTTTTTCCACTTTTGCTCCTCACCTAGGGAAGTGGAACAAACCAGAAGAGGGAGGAAGAGAAACTACACAGAAAAGAACAGAAGGTAGTGGCTTCAAGTGGCAGGGAACATGCATAAGACCAAAACTTCTCCCTTAACCAAAGGATTCTGCAAAACAGAGAAACTAAAAAGAGGGGAGTGGGAATAAGGCTTTACTTCCTACCATATTCGTAGCCTGAAGGAAGTCTATGGATGATCTACAAAGATGAGGAAATGGAAATGAAATATAAAGGACTAACTATGGATCCCTTTTACAGCAACTGAGAAAACTGATATTGCTTGGAGTATTTCAGGGATAAAGGAAGAGCTCTACTCCCTAGTGCAAGAGAGCAGTTCTATAGTCACAAGAGTAACTTGTTATCTACAGCAACTTCATATCCAAACCAAATCTATTAATCCATCACATGGGCTCACAAGTTCACATTAATTTAATTTTCACTTATGAATATGAAGCGTATGAATTCAACTTCTATTCTGCTTATCTAAATGGCTTGAAAATAAAATATTTTTACACATTAGAAAAAGTATTTTTAAAAAAGTTGAACATCTGTGCACTTATTTTGTCAGACAAGTATATAGGTTTAATATTAAGCTATCTACTAATATAGATTTTAATTCAACACCCTAAATAAATATCTACATTATTATTTAATAATTAACAGATAAAACAGGAAAACAGAAAGATCGTTTTTTTTATTTTTCAAAAATATGATTTAGAGATGTCAGTGAGCCACATTTCTACAAACTCCTTCAGTAAGAGTAAGTAAAACCTT